GCTGGTTTGGCAGTATAGTCACGCACCTGTGGACCTCAGAGCGAGGCCCTTAACCCCCCCAGCTTCATGATGCTGCTGCAGGTGGCTGCCCTTCGCTAGCAAGCTTGATCTCACCTACATGTGCCATGGAGAGTAAGATAGGGCAGGTGAGAAGAGAATCTCCCCACAGGCATCAATAAAGTGTCATTATTATAAATCAGAACTGTGCTAAGTGTGCAGTGGATCTAGGAAATTCCCTTTATAAAGACAATACCAGTTACAAGACAGCAATGCCGATTTAGAGTCAAGAAGACACATACAGACAAGCCATTTAATGGAAGATTGGATTTTGAAACAATGAACAAATAAGTCAATGAACATCCATTACAGCCTGAATGTAGAATCGCCTAGTGTCTCTTTGCCCAATATTTCATTCATCTGCACATTTCAGTCCAAATCACGATCACAATCCAGATGCAGACCGAGTAACTGTGTGGTAGTATGAAGAATGCTTATTATGGAACTGTGTGAACATCAGGCACACAGAAGCTAAGCCTTGCCGCCACGCTGGTGTTGGTTCGTCCCATATTGTTTGAGGAAGATCTTGGGCGTGTTCCACCCCTTGGGGGGTCTTCTCATTCCGGCCCCCTTCAAGATTCTCCTCAGGTCCCTCTCAAAGCGCTTCTACGATATAAGACAGTCAAAAATCTTTGTTAAGATTCAAAGGAAAAAACGAAAAAATAATAATCAATTATTAATATCTGTGTAGATTATCATGCTCTTTCCATGTTGCGTGGGCTAGAAAACATGTAGCTAAGCTAACTGGTGTTTCTAACCTGCCAGAAGAGCATGACTGTGGTGTGTGTACATGCCCTGACCATGTTCTGTAGTGTTTCAGATCTTTAGCATAAAAAGATTAAAGACATGTTAAGAAGTCACTCAGCTGTGATTAATATAATGTAAACTAGTACACGTAGGTCTTCACTCAGTAAAAGATCATTCTGACTTAGACGCATGTGCATTTCCTCCTCTTATTCCCATTCTTCTCTACTCCTGCACAGCACCGGTTACGCCCCTCCCCCCTCATCAGCGCCACCAATGGCTGACCTGTTTCCTCCGCCGCCTTCCCAGCCGCACTTTCCGAATGCGAAACCTCGTGCGCTTCAGCAGCTTCTTGTACTTGTGCCTGTTTATCTTCCTGCGCCGAATCTCCAGCACGTTCTTGCAATTCAGAACACCTGAACCCTCGTCTTCAGGCAGTACTGGGTTCAAGACCGGGGGCAGCACCGTTTGCAGGATCTCCTCTTCCCCGGAGGGCAAGGGGTTGGCCTCCAGTAGGGGTGGGAGGGAGTAGCGAAGGGAGAGCCAGCTCTCCAGAGGGGACAAAGACAGCATTCGGGGAACGAGGGCCTCCTCCAGCTCTGGCTCAAGGGATGTCCAGCGCTGGGGGGGCAGCATGTTGCCTGTGGGCCCAGTGCCATAACGTCTTAGCCTGCCACATGTGATGGCCAAGCCAGGAGAAGAGACTAGCCTTACTGCAAGGCATGCAGACTGTCCTGCAGAGGGCACCACACCTGTGCCAATGCCCTTATTTGACAACCTGCATAAAACATATAATGGAGAGATTCTTCTAAACATATTTACCCTACTGTAATCCTTGCAATGTCATTCCTGGATTCCTAAAAGAAAAATAAAAACAATATTAATAATTAAAAATCAGACAAACACATTGTCCTGACCTTTAATAATGAGGAGCACCTCTGTAGTAAAACCGATCATCTTCATCTTAATAATTAAATATTAAGGTCTGGAGTGAGTCTGAAGCTTATTCTAGAAAGCACACAGTACAACATATTCCAGCAAAATGCTGGATGGGAAGGGATCGGACGGCATGGGACCACAATTTTTCACGATACATTCACAGAGTACATGTTCAACTTCAGTCTTCCACGGGAGAAAACCGGAGGAGACACTCATGAACATGGCAGAAAACACAACATTAGAGGTAGGAGGTCGCTAAACGTAATCATTGAAGCATGAGTCACTTATCACACACTACACATTTAAAAATACCGAAATATTGATTTCGATATAAACGGACGAAAAGGACTGTTAAATGTTCCTCATGCATCATGCGATATACAAATAAAAACATTTAAGAATCTTCGTTATCTGACTTTTCAACAGCCAAATTAGCAACTAATACGAAAAGTAACAGTAACTTAACAGCAGTGATTCAGTATCATACAAAAAAATAGCAATAGTTTTAAGCAATAAAAACATCAGTTACTGTGTTTCTAAAAATAATCTAATATATAAATGCTTTAAAATATCGCATAATATAAAATATAACTTACCTAACTAGCTATCTATTGCGATGTCAATGTGACACTGGTGCGCCGCTGATTCCTGTCCCGGACGGAAACTTGTCGGCTTCCTGTTCTGCACATCATAATAATTCCGGGTAGAAACACAGCCTGTTTACCTGCAGTACCATGGCAACCCCATTGACGATTAGTATATCTTACAACAATTTTAATGATAAAATGAATGCACTAAAATTAATCGTTTTACACGCCAGGTTGAATATTTTGTTTTGTAGCTATGCAGTTGTTTATGCAGGTTCTGATATCGGTGTTACTTCATTCTCTCAAAATGAGGGTTATTGTCATGCCACCGCGTAGGGGAGAGTTTGATTATGGGGCGGGGGGGGGGGCACTTAATTTATATACAGTGGATAGATTTATGATTTTATTTGTTAGCTGATGCAGTTATCCAAAGCGCAAAACTCGCCCATTAGTACTGTTTAAATTTTATTGAAAGAACTCCAGCCTTCTACTCAGTTATTTTCCCCAAGGTATAACAGCGACGCAAATTGGGCGGCGGTGCGTCGGGGCGGAACGATCGCGCTTTTGAGTAGAACAGCTAATATGTGTTACATGAACACAACAACGAGCACAAAGCCACCTGCTGTAATTATAAAGCAGGGAGACGGATAACGAAGATAAGATCAAGAACAATTTATAAAATCCAAATCTATAACGTCTGTGATTTTGTAACCAGCGCAATCCAATGTTTTGGCAGTTTAAGCGAACACTAAGTAAACTACTTTTAAAAATACAGCTTCATTACATAACCTTTTAAAAAATAATATCTGCATTTTTAAATGATAGTATTTTGCACAGTGTCTTAAAATTTTACAGGACCAGAATTGGGGAACCCTGATGTAAGGGGTGTGTGTGGAACAGACATATGCCAACACTCCTGTTTTACCCATGTTGCCAGATCGTCTATAAAACAAAATCTAGACACGCAATCCACACGCTACATACATTTTCAACCCATGTGTTACCGTTTCTGTGATGAATTGATGTTGTTTTTCTTACAGTAAGCTTGCTGTAAGCTCATATTGGTATGCTAATTATATATCTAGCTAGCTAGTTTTTGTTCTGCAAGGGGTGGAGAAACAAACAGCTAGCAAGATAGCAAGCTATTTGCTTATCCACCCGCCCTTAGGAAAAGAAAAACTCCAGTATTTAAATTGGCAGGTATGGCGTGGAAGTCTCAAAACGGGCAATCATGTGACTCATATTGGTATGATGATTATTTCCAACTGTCCTCCATTCCTCGTCATGTGTAAACAAAAGATGTGTGCTGTTTCTTTAGCACTTGGAAAGCTCTCATCCCTGCAAGCCAAAATTTTCTTGTCCCCACCCTTTTGGTCCTCCGACCAGTCCCAACCAGAGGGAAAGTTTCTTTTCTTATTTTCTTAGTGTGTGCTGTTCATTCTGTCCTTACCTTGGTTCTCCTGGAAAAGGCAGTTTCAGTGAATAATAATCCCACTACATGCCCAGCGTTGTATCACCTGGCTGTGTTTATATTCACAACCACGGACTACTTCACACAGCAATTCTATTCATTTTTAATTAATCAGTCTTTATATGGTTGCTGTTATTGTCTAGAAGTGCAGCTTTGATGCAGTTTGATGCTCCCACAGTCTCCTAGATCATGGACTTTCTAATAGAAAACAGGTTTAAGGCTCCTGTGCCATGTGTAGGAGATGGTGGTGAGCATCACTGAGGCACTTCAGGGAACCGTCCCACCTTCCTCCACATTCACCCTTCACGTGACGGACTTCTAGTACAACACCAGCTCATGGCACCTACAAAAGTTCTCCACAACTCATCTATTGTATGGGGCATCAACAATGGAGATGAGTCGAAGTGTAGGAGGGTAGTGGAGGCCTTCATCTATAAAGCAAGATCAGGTCAGGTGATACCAAATGCCTAAACAGATTGGTCAGGAAAGCCAGCTCTATCACAAATCTGACACTGGGCCCTCGGGAGAGTGTCAGAAGAGAGTATTGTAGCAAAACTGAAGGACATTGTGAATAGTTTTGTCCATCTCCTCTTGGGACACCTTTAGCCATCAGCTCATTGCTCACACTCTCTGCTACTGGGAATATTTCCTGCCTGCACCTGTCAGGCTCTCCAGTGGCTCTCCTAGACAAGCCAGCTCTCATCCCTAAACAGAAAACACTCCTGGGCATCATTTCTACCCCTCAACTTACATTTGAATTTGAATTAAACAATCCTTTATTTGCCATTTACACCAGTACATTGGAGTGTTTCCATTTGCCTGGCCATATAGGTGAGTGGAAGCTTTGGGGGGGGGGGGGGTCATAGCACAAGGATTAGGCTTGAACTGAAAATCTTCCGACCCCATGCACAGAGGCTTAGCTTACAGAGCCATTTACTGCCCTCTTCCCTTGCTTTTCACTTCACTTTATATTTTCTTTATTTATTCCTTGTTGCACTGTGGTGTTACATGTCATCTTTTGTTCTCACTGTGTTTCAGTATGTGCACTTCATGTCCCTTTGCTGCTGTATGTGACCAAAATTGCCTCAGTTACTCTAGTATGACTGTAGTAATATCAAGAACATATTTTATAGCTCTCATAAAAAAAATATGATTCTCGCCAAATAACTTATAACAATAATATCAAGAAAAAAAACAAATACTAAAATAATCAGTCATATTTATTATTGTCTTGGCTGTATTTACAAAAAAGAAAGCCATTTACAATGAGACTGTCATTCAAGGGTTCATTAAATTAAATTAACAGAACAAAAATACCATCACCTTATGTTAGCACATTGCAGTGTGAACAGAGTTTTGATTGCTTATATTCTAAAGTTCTCTGTAGGTCATCCGCATGGATTTGTGCACAAAGAAGCGGGAGCAGATTCCTTACAGTAGGGGGCGCCATTGGCCCTTTGAATAATACAACACAGACAAATGCTCTACTTAAATGCCTATTTTACTGAATAAAATTAACTGAAATAAAACAGGAGCAATTGTAGTTTTACTTAAAATACATAAATATAATATAATTCATAATGATTAAAGTGTCATTTAACTTTGATTAGGTTCTTAAGACGGTCCCCTTCCCAAAACAGCTGCCCAAAAGCAATTCATTTGTAGTGTTACAATATGGAACATGATGTTTTTCATTAAATAAGGTATATGGTTTTACTGAGGATACTTTTATATAGCTGTCTAAACAGAATAGCCCACTGAACAGCCATGTGTATTTTTGAAATGCGCAAGGACATAGCCAGGGGAAAAATATAGAGAGAGCCAGCATTCATGACAACAACAACAATATTATTATTATTATTATTATTATTATTATTATTATTATTATTATTATTATTATTATTAGTAGTAGTAGTAGTAGTAGTAGTAGTAGTAGTAGTAGTATAGGAAGAATAACAGCCTGGATCATTTACTTTGTATTATTAATGTTACCAGGGGCGGATTAAGGTGTACAGAGGCCCCTAGGCTACAGTAGTCTGTGGGCCCCCCAACCCCGCCCCCCTCCGCGCCAATGGGGGCCCCCTTGCAGGCTGGCACACGTGGGGCCCCTAGGCTTAAGCCATATCTAGCCTGTGCGTTAATCCGCCCCTGCATGTTACTATGAGTTAGCTTGTATGAAAAACGTGCATTAAACATTTGCGTTTCGTTCTTAGATGAATGCTGCTCTCTGAGATAACCCCGAAATAAAAAAAAACATGAGCATTGACCAACGCTGGTCTTCGGGCTAGATAATGCATAGAAGTTCTGCTTCTCCTAGCAGAGATGCCTGAAGCACTACTTCACTTCCACATTCTCACTGATCTCGGGGCTCCGTTCCTGGCCGTCGCGTACAAGGCATCGTACATGACCACATGCTTTAAAGGTAAGACAGTCATTTTCATATTTATATATAACTGCACAGTGTTTAACTTGTATTATTAAGTTGCGATCATTTAAAAAGGAATGAAACGTTGAAAGAGGGCTACCCATTAACAGCACACAAGAGACATCTGTTGTTGTACAGTATTAAACCAACAACCCAAGAATCAAGGCTGAGCAGACATATACAACCACGAAAGACCTGTAATGAATGTAATTAACTGGGGCAATTGACGGTTTAGTACGAGTTATACAAGGAACAGTGAGGGGTTTAGCCTGAGTCACCATAACTACAGCAGGACTATAAAGGCAGCAGCTTATGAAGAGTAACAAATCGGTCACAAACACAGACTATATACGTACATCTTTAAATACACAAATAAAACAAGTGCACAGTATTTTTCTTAAATATAGTTATACAGATACACCACAATATACAGATCATAATTCCTTCATTTGAATGCCATATTATTTACTGGTTTCAATTAATGAACGCTCAAGGCAACGCTCGAGGCCGGCTCAGTACACACAAATCAAGTCATTTGTGTGTATAAAACGCAAGGCTACGTCTGACTGAAAAAAATATTGGGAAGAGTTTTATCGGGTGTCATGGGAGGACTCAGTGTGCGAAGCGGAGCCGAGATCAACAAACGGAGACTGCGGTGATGTTTGCGGGCGCCTTTAGGACAGAGAGACAGAAGGTCGCTCTAGGCAGCAGCCGTCATAAATACATCCCGGTCATTAAAGGGAAAGTGTAATCCCCGGGCAGTCAAAAAAGACTTTAAGAGTTGTTTAACTTTGGCAAATTACTGCTGCACTAAACATTTAACTACAATTCCATCGCAAGGATGTATAATTTCAGCACTGAGCAGCAGTCTGCTGACTGACTTGTTTTTTCTTATGTTTTATGTGTTACGTTGGTCTCTTCCACAGCATTTCTCCCACGTAATTGATTTGAGGAGAAAAGCGATGGTTTTTGGTCCATTGGGTCAGCAAATATCCCACCGTAACGTAAATTAATGCCTCAGATGGAAACTGCTGATCATTATTTACAATCAACAGCTGGGTTAAAATAAATACACGAACAAACAAACATGGGGGGTCTCCCTAAAAACAGCTAGCCGCAACCGGTGAAGGGTTATATCACTAACAAAATATGGTATCGTTTTTTTGGGGTTTACTGAGAATTTACTGCTGACTGGGGAAAAGCAGGGGTGCAGGATAATTTATGATCAAACGCTTCCATCTTTCCCAAAACGATACATGCGGCTACAACGTACCATGCTGAGCTGATTCAGCAACGAGGTTGTTCCCATTTCTACAACGATTATGATGATGTTGAAAATTAAAGTGAAACAACATGCTAAAATAAAAACACTTTTAAAATTAATTTACGTTTAAGGGGAAATAAACCACTGCTCTGTTCTATGTATAATTTTAGACTAACAGTCTAAAACTGCTGTCTGTGATGCCCCGTAATTATTATGCTCCCTGTTCACGGAACAGATTACAAATAAATGATACTCCGCCCTCGAATGTCTTTGTCATTAAAGTCAGTGCATGTCTCACCTCTAGACAAAGTTCTGCTTAATTACTTTTGTCTTGTACACTTTCACACAATGCATATGGCGTTTTAGATCTGTTGGCCTGTCCCTTTGAAGGCAAATTCACAGTGGAACCATATAAATAAATACATTTTAAAAAACTGTCCACTCTATTTGCTAGTGAATTTTGTTGATGTTGCCTAACGGGGTGGGGGGGGGGGGGACTAAAATGTATGAGGAACATTTGTTGCTGTAAAACTTGGACAAAGGTTATAGTGCCGAGGTTCCTCAGTTCCAGTCCTGGGGGGCCAGTCTGCAACACACTTTGCAGATTTCCCTGCTCAAATACACCTTATTCAGCTCAAGAGCCAATTGTCAGGTTTAGTAGGTGGGTTTGAGGAGGGGAATCTGCTGTTTCCAAAACCAGAATTGGGGAACCCCGTTATAGTGAAAGTCAAGAATGAACAAACAAATGAACATGCAAGTGACTGTGACATAAAAGCGTGACATTCCTGTGGTCCCTGATTTCTGTCTCCCGCTGATCCATTTTCCATGGTTCCCCAGCTGGCCGCTGTCACGTGTGTGTGTGTGATTAGAGCGGTAGTTAAAAGGACCACGCCCGGTGCATCAGGCACTCCTCCTTCTCCTCCTCTTTCTCCTCTTCCACCTCCTTGCCTGAGGTGCTGAAAAATGGTGAGCACCTCATCTCCTGGACACGGCGCCTTCTATGATAGTTCTGCAGAGAGACACACGGAACCTCTCTGAGCACGGTGATGGAGCGTGAGGGAAGGGATGACGGGCCGGCATACGGGAACACGCCAGTGCTGAAAATAGGCTGCTCTTTCCTGCCAACAGGGAGGGGGCACCAGTGGTCGCTGAAGTATTATAGATACCATTAAATATATCCTTAACCCCACATGGGGAATGCTCCGGCAAAAAACAGCAGAGACTGACCTTTTATGGGCATCCATGATGCATCTGGGCAGACAGGGTTAGCAGTTCTACAGAGGGGATACAATGACACACAGCAACTGGGTTACCATAGGAACCAGTTAAAACTGGTAGAGAGAGAGAGAGGAAATAGAAAGCAGGAGGAAACATCTAGCAAGGAAAGCAGAGGGTAAACCCATGGCATACTCATCCTCACAGTATCATCCTCATCCTCGTCCTCATCCTCACAGTATCATCCTCATCCTCATCTTCATCTCCATCCCACCCCCCCACTCTCTCTCCATTATAAGCTCTCCAGTCAGCGCTGGCTTGGGTGGCCAGTGGCATTCTGCCTACCTGTGCTGGCTTCTGTTCCTGCGGACGCTCCAGTTTAATGCGGATCTCCGTTTTGGGCGGCTCAGGAACCCTGGCAGATGCTGCAGGAACACACAACACATTGACATGGTGGCCCTAAGCTAACGGTCTGCTTCTGTGTGATTGTTGGTTACGACAGCAATGTCTGTATTCATCCTGAATTTTACAGACTACTACGGTGGATTCTAGTCTGAACCAAAACTGCATGATCACCCCTCAGCTGGCAAAATCTGCCAACCCCCCCCCCCCCCCACAGTTGACAAAATTCACCCATCTGTCTTCTGTAACCCCCTGTCAAATTCAGGGTCGCAGTCGGTCTGGAGCCTATGGGCACAAGACAGGGAACAACCCAGGATGGGGCACCAACCCATCACAGGGCACAGTCACTCACTCACTCACACACACACACACACACACAGACAATTTTATAACCCCAATTACCCACAGCATGTTTTTGGACTGTGAGGGGAAAATTGGAGCACCTGGAGGAACCCCACAATGACTTGGGGAGAACATGCAAACTCCACATCCATCGAACCATGCAGACACTCAAACCCGGGTCCCAGAGGTGTGAGGCGGCAGTGCTGACCACTGCACCACGGCGCCACTGCACCACTGCACCACGGCGCCACCTGAGTTACTCACATCTACCCCTTTTTAGATCCATTATTTTTTTTCCCTGTTTCACGTCATCAAGCAGTTGCTGATTAGTAAAGCAGTTTACAGTTTAAGGCACTGTATAGACTGACGGGTATGAACAGCAGATTCCCCTTAACCTGTGAGCAAGGTGTGAAGCCTCTGGCCAATCAGAATCAGTAATTATCTAACTAACTTGAAGAGCCCTGCCCTAGAACCATCACGTCCCTAGTGGGGGCCGTCAGAACCCAGATAAAGGCCCTGGGAAAGACACCTCACCTGGAGAGTCACCCCTGCTGGTGTTAAAGGGGCTGTTCACACTGTCCTCTAGCCAAGTGCTGTAGGTGAAGGAGTCCCGCTTGTGAGGTGTCCCTGCTGACGAGAGGCTCTCCTGCCGGAGACACACAGGGTCAGAAATGGTGACGAGATGCCGCACCTGAGGCATTGACAGAAAGCTGCCCCGGGGCGGCACGCGGTCCACCCACCAGGCCGGTGTCGTACTCCTCCGTGGCCTCGGCCTCGTTCTCCTCCACCACGCTGGCAAAGCTGCTGGCATTGGACGAGGAGCGCGACAGGTCGTTACCCTCGGGGATGGAGGGGGCCCTGCAACCCACGGCGACGCATAAACACTCCGGCGACCTCGCAAAGCTTACCAAAATGAGGAGTGCACATGATTGGGTCAGACAGAAAAGATTAAAATACGGGGGCGGGGCCACAAGAGCACTCGCCCAATCTGAAAGCTGATTGGTCCCCAGAAGGCTCCGTCTTCTGTCACTCAGAGACTCAAAACATATTACTGGCTAATGATAAGGCTGGCTTCTCTGTAGGAGTTATGGCTTCCTTGATGCCCCTCATCTTAAAAAAAATCAAGAATAACTGCCAAAATACAGTACGTATAAGCTGATCTGTTCCAAATGACTATCCAAATTGCATTATCACTAGGGTCAATGGTGGTTCTAGCTTGTATGGTCAGGACAATAAGATCCCAAATGAAAAGACTATGGAAGAGCTTCTTTCCCAAAGCTGTGGCCTTCATCATCCCGCCCAACATCCGCTGTAAATATGTAAATCTATAAAATCAATAGTATACGAAAGCTGCTGGTGTCTATCATCTACTTTTCTTCTACTTATGTTGCTGCTCATACATATTTTGTTCTCTCTTCCTTCCATCTCATTCTTTCTTTCCCCTCTGTTCCCCTTTAAGAGAGATGCCATGCAAAAATTTCGTTGTGCTTAGTATGATGGATAAAGGATTCTCTTGTCTGGTATCAATGACATAACGGCAAATGAGTGACAGAAACACGACTGTGCAAACGCCACATCCTGAGCAGCTGCTCATCCCGCCCACACCTAATTCGGCCAGTAGGTGGGGTAAAAGTTAAGGAAACAAATGTTGGCATCATAAAAGTCCCCATTGGTTACATCACTAACATCACACAGCCACCAGTTTGACTCCCCTCACCTGTTCTTAGTTGTAGGCACCTCAGGCGAACTCTGATCTGACGAGTTCTCCGATTTGGGGTCCTGTGAAGCGTGGCCACTGTCGGGCGTCTTCTGCGTGCCAGGGGAGCATTCTCTCCTGGGGGGGGGGGAGGCAGTGAGGTCAGCAGAGGTGGATGAGGTGGGACTTTCAGGGGTTAGGACTGCTGAACAGGTTTTGCACACTACACCAGTGCTTCTGTCCCATCCTCAAGCTTTGCATGAGAGCAAAACATCTTTTAACTCTTTGTATAAGGCCTCAGGTGGACCCCAGGATCAGAAGCACTCATCTACGCTACTCCTCTAACTAGTTATCTGCACTAATCCACCCTGAACCCCTCGGGGTAAAATGGAGAACTCAGGAACAGGAAATGAGGTCACAATGATGCAGTGTTAGCTGAGAAGGAAGTGGTGACAGAGTGGTGACCTGGTACATTTGAAATTGTAGGTACTAGACCGGTGGCTCCTTGGGCTGGTGCTGGGTGGGGGGGCACTGAGCATTGTCCTGTTGTCGGGGGGGGGCAGGGACACATGCAGAGGGCTCAGAACATCTCGCTTATCCTCTTGCCCTAATGCAGGCTCTGGTTGGAAGGAGATTTCTTAAACAGTCCCCAGTCTGATTAGCTGGGCCAGCATTAGCTGCTCACCCCCCAGCATCGCCCAGAACCCACTGCAGCAGCTGGGGCCATTCTCAGCTTCTGCTGGGATCACACACTTCCATTCTCACCTTCCCTCCTGCACCTCCTGGATGTTCTCGATCCCAATAGCGCTGCTTCGGCGAGTGTTGAAGGAGGCAGATTTCTTCCTGGTGGGGCTCTTTCCAGGGATTATCAACGACTGCAGAGCAAAACCCAGAGAGATGCAGAGGCGTGACTCAGTCTGCCATGGTGTCTGTCACTATTACATTACTCTATAGTATGGTCAGATCAAATGGCAATTTAGTGCACTTAATACACTACATAGTACTACACATACTATGCATGCTGGGTGACTGCTGTCTGGAAAAAAAGTCGGGAAACTCATTTTCGATAGCCATGAGGCAATACTGATCAACACTACAGAAATATCACTGAAAGTCAGTGTGGCAAAACAACTATTGGAATTAACAATTATTGGAATATGACAGTTAGTACTGATTGGTGGCTTTAGATTTAAGTCGTAGTGCCCATGAAGAAAAAATAATGCATGAAAGACAAAGGATTAATCTGGAGCTTTGGGACTTCAGTAAAAAGGTATTGCTCATTGCACTAAGACAAGCTAAGGTGAAAACAGCTTATCTTTTAATCCCTGTGTAACATACTTAAAAAGCCTTAAACATTAAGCCTAAACAACATAAAAACAAAAGGACCAGTTCTATGCTACACTTATAGAAACAGGTCTGTGTTGTTAGTTTGTAAATCAGGATAGGAGCAGGTCAGAACATACTGGTACGGATGGTTAAGGGTTATTACATACAGACAAATTACGCAAAACAGCCGACAGGAGATCAGAAATAAATTACAGGCCACAAGGACCAGAGACATAACAATTTTACACTCAAGAGGAACTATTTCTTTGCTAAATCTGTTAAAAAAGTGATTCTTCATTAAGTATGATGAGTCTACTTCAGGCACCCTACAGTGCCTCTGAAAAGGGGCTATTTATGAGCCGCCTTTGTCTTTCTCCGGTCTGCAGATGACTGGGCTATTTTCATAACATAAGGCTAAAGAAAGCATGGCCATTAGTCATTCACTGCTGCAGCACTCTGTTGTAGGCCACAGACTAATTTGGCTCATTAATATGCTGCATTGTAACTCTAATGAGATGCAAAGGGCCGTCTTCCCGACCGGAGACTGAGAGTAAGGTGATCATCCTGGCATTCCTGGTCGGCATGAGCGTGAACGTGAATGAGAGGAACATGGGGCACTCAAGGAGTTGGGCGACAATTTTGGGGGATGTTCAGATTACTGTGGCACTTAATTACTGACAACCGACCCCCCCACTGCCATAACTGTACAATGATAGTGCCTTAATGTCACCTCAGATAAACAGAAGGATTCCTTGGTGCTGAGTGCTGGAGATTCCCACAATGCTACTGGGAACCGAGCCGCTCAATCCATTAGGTGACTGACGCCCAGCTTACAGATGCCCCAATGCTCTTGGCTGATCATTTGAGTGCAGACACTGTTACCCACCTATGATCATGGGGGAAGTCAGGGAGAGAATGGGAGCTCCAGTGTGCACCACTATGGTGATGAGGAAGTAGCTGAATTTACAGTGGCCAGAGAAGTGACTGAGTTACAGTACCATTTGTTTTCCTGGAAGGTCTCTGTCCTGTCCTGCCTCATCCCTGTCTCATTCATACTTCACTTTTGCACTTTCAGGCTGGGGACAGTCGTCCGCGTGGCAGCTCGTAGTCATACTACGCACTAAATGGGCAACAACTGGCACTGCCTGGAAAGATTCTTCAGCTCTTTGGGCTGTCCAGCCACGCACAGAGACACAGGAAAAACGACGCACAGCAAACAATCAGCGAGAGCCACACAGGAACCTCCTCTGTGGTTCCTATTCCTACGGCACTACCACACCGCCCGTATGCACTGGGACTTTTTCCCGGGACGAGCAACGACTGAATCACGAGAGAGGGAGAGAAAAACAGGTGGGAGTGAAGAGTGTGAGCAAGAGTGAGAGATAAAGCGAAAAGATAAAACTACACTGAGATTTCATGGTAGCAGGTCGTGATAAAACACACAAAGCAAGAATGAGTAAACAAAGCAGGAATGGAGATGAGAGACTGGGGGAGGGTCAGTATGCGCATGGCCAGTGAAATGGGGGGCAGGGGGAGGGGGAGGCCCGAGAAGAAAAGGAGGTGTTAGGACCACAACCCAGAAAGCTGGCCCTGTGTAGAGGGCAAGATAACAGCAACACAGAACACGTGACACAGGGTTAAAGGTCACAGCAGTGAACAGGTAAATTTTATCAACAGTGCCCTCTACAGGAACCATCCGCAAAACACTTAACATAATGTGTAAGCTTTCCGTTTTCTTAAATGCATACTGTAGATGTGGGAATGCAGATGAGTTACACTCCGGACCAGTTAAAAAGCTTATTCATGGTTTTCTATGTTAGGACCCTGATTTGGGGCATGAACAGACCCCCTGATCCAATCCCACCCATCCTGCGTATGTCAATATAGTCCTGGGCGGTATAGCGGTTCATCGGATATATCAGTTTTAACTTCCCATGTGGGATGATTTTTTCATATGCTGCTGTACCGTAGCACAGCTGAAACTGCTGTAACACTTCAATAGGCAGCAAATTATATAATATTGTTTGCTTCTAGAAGTGCAATGAATCACTGCGCAGAGCATATTGGGAGGGGACCCCTGTCAGTTTTGCGAACTCTTCTTACTAACGGTCATAACTTTATACAACACAATTCTCCATATATGACTGTTCAGCATTATAATATTTATAGCTACTGTTTCAGTCAGTGCCTGGAAATTTGGATCATATGTAATGTAATTAGGTCTGCAATTAAAATCATATCAGTGAAGCGAAATCCCCAATATCAATTTATAACGGTAATTATTAAAATTATGCCGGTCAAGCAAACATTTTATTACCAAGTGAAATATGCAGTAAGAATCAATAAAACATGTCTCTACAGAGTTAAATATATGGTTATAATGAATAAAACATGTCGCTATCAAGCTGCATATACATTAATAATCTAATAAAACATGTCAGTTATACTGTCAAGCTAAATGGAAATTATTTTTTATAGTAATAAAACACAGCTTTTTAAAAACATTCGCAAACATTTTATTGATGTAAATGCTTGCTGGCCCAGAAAAAAATTGCTATATACCATGAAACCGACAGAATAGTAAAAAATGAACAAATTTTTGGTCATAGCAGCCATCACTGTGTCAGTGTGTGCAGGCTTTTCCATGCCCTCCATCACCGCCAGCTAAACCAGTATCAATAAGTAAACCTCCAGTACAGTTTTCAAGCCGTTTTGCCTAAGAATTTTGTTACACCCAGCTCACAGATCACACCATAGTCACATACAGTAAACATACATAATCACTTATATGCAGCATCATGTAACTTTGTGTAAAACAAAAAATCACAACTTAAAACATATAATACAAAAAAACCTGTTTGTTGGTGCATAATGCAAAACGCTTCTTCTCTCTAACCCTAAATCAGGTTTGCCACCCTTGGTGACCTGGTGGCTGTTCCCAGTCTGTCCCAGTACTGGCTCTGGGTCATGCTGGCCATAAACAGAGGCCTGTCTGAAAGTGAACTAACCAAGAGCTCCTGCTTCCAGTCCCTCCGGCCTCGGCGAGACTTACCTGGGCCACGCACCCTTACGGTGGGTCCAGGCCTGTGGCCTTGGCCTGCAGACGGGGGCGGGTATGAGCGAAAGCAGAGCGTTGCCATGCAGACATGCATGAAAGGGGTGGCAGGGGTGATCTCATGAGGTGGGGGCACGCAAGCTCTACGGGGAACATGAAAGCAGTCCCCTCGGCATGGCAGTGCAATTCAATTCTTAATGACTTTTTTTTAAAACCAGATTTAATGATGCAATGTGAATTCTGCACATTGCATGCTAAAGCGCAGCCTTTTCCAAAATACTCCGTATCTGTGACAAATGCAACAAGGAGGCGGCAGTAAGAAAAGGCATAGCCTTTAACTGCATGTAAGATGGTCCACTACAGGGTGCCCAGCTGCTCTTAGAAACTTCCGGAACTTTTCATGATGTCTCTCCGATACTTGAACCCTAAGGCTCATTATTCTGACATGACAGTGTTCTTTTTGTGTCCAGCTGAACTAGTTTCAAACGGGCTTTGGAAGCTTTTCTGGTCTGCTGATCTGGGTTAGGAATAACATCTGTTACTGTCCCAGTAGCTGATTTCTAAACATACTGGTTGATACATTGCAAGCCAGTTAAAGCCATCTGAGCTCTGCTGAAATGGTCTGCTGTTTTTGACTGGAGTTTTGACCAGGTGTGTGTGTATACGTCTAAAATAGATTTCTCGTAGATAGATTCCCTTTCTGCTGGAAAAATTTATAACGCCAAAAAGTGAAAAACTGTGTTTACAGCTGTACTCTGCGTTCAGGAAACCAGGAAATAAGTTTGCCTCTGTATGACTCATATCTCTCAGCTAAATTGTTAAAGCCACATAAGAAATTGGCTGAAATACAGTGCCGGCCTTTGGGACAGACGGCTAAAACACATTTTGATGACTTTATTGCAGGAAATCGTTCCTATCAAAAAAGGTAGCCTTGTGACTCTTGAGTGCCGTTGCTGCTGCTGCCTGTTATCCTCAAGCAAGCATCCTGTAATCCAGTGTTTCTCAGACCGGTCCTTGAGGACCACAGATGGCAAGAACCTAGACCGTTTGGGGCTCCCTGAGGACTGGCTTGAGAAACACTGCCATTATGTTCAGTATGGAGATGTGATTAATGCAAAGTGAGGTCAGTGAGGTCAGTCCCATAAATTCTGGTAAGGCATTTTACGTCACTGGGAATTTGCACTAGCTTAGGATCAGATGGGGATCTGGTCATGGTCGAGATAAGGTTGAGGCATAGTGCACCACCGCTTCTTACAGTGCCGAAACGGTTTACTTACGATCCCGGGGGTTTTGGGGGTCTCTGGAGGATTGTGGGTAAAGTTGCCGCTGTGACTAGTTGAGACCGTGTGTGGTTTCCTGTGAGCCCCATGGCTACTGAGCCCCATGGCGTCCATGGACTGGCTCCTGCTGCGGATCACCCGCTAGGGAGAGAGACGCAGAGACACACAGTGTGGGGCGGGGGGCGGGGGCGATGGTAGCTGGGTGGGTGGGTGGCGCCAACCTGCACCTATGTGACCCGTGCACAGAGCTGGAAATGTCAGGTCCAGAAAGTACAAATGCAGACCGAGACTTTGTTTCGACCAACCAGTTCAGTACTCTGTGACCGTGGTTCTTTATGCTCAACTGGTTGGTTGTAACAAAATCTTGGTCTGGATTTGTAATTTCTGAACCTGAACTTTCCACCTCTGCCTGTGCAGAATGGCAGTAAAGAGAATGAGAGAGAGAGAGAGAGACTGGAGCGCAGCACGAGCAGGGAGGCGCGTAGGTCGCAGTCGCGAGGTGGAGCAGCGGTGCGTAGGGCAGCTAGGAGGCGCAAGGCGGCATGCAGGCCTCCACACAAAGAAGCTCAGAAACAAGATGCCATTCAGAGATGTGCAGCCCTGGACTGAACAAACGAAGCTGCTTTCCAGCACCCTAATGGATACTCATGAAATACTCATTAAGTACTCCTAAGGTTCAACATTACACATTGACTAATAGGGACAAAATCTGAACTTTATCATTCAAGTGGCTGATGATGTCGTTTGAAGATCTGATTGCTTTGATTAATTACACCGTGGAGTTGAGTGTCCTTGGCAGAGTAAGAGTCTTCAGGAACTTGGAATATCGAATCCAGGTATCGAGCACATAAGTACTCCGCTCATGAAACAAACCCTTTAAGGTTTCAGCTGGTTTCCAGCTCTAAATCCCTTCCCATCCCCCCACCCCCCCACACACCACCATTCCTCGCCTACTGGGTTACCTTGAAGGACCCGAAGAAGCCCCCTCCCCCTCCAGCCCCATTCTCCAGCTTGTCCTCCTCAGCTCCGAGGCCCATCATGGCCTGACTGTTGATGTGTACCTCCTCATAGAGTGTCTCCAGGAGGGCGGTCCGTGTACGCTCCTGCCAACACACACACACACACACACACACACACACATTATTAAGGGGAGGACACATTTAAACATGAAAAACACCAAAAAAGCTGAAAAAAGATATGGGACGTAAACTACAGCAACAGAGGTGGGAAAACTTAGGTTCAGAATGTAAAAATACAGACCATAATTTTGTTTCAACCAACCAGCTGCGTACTCTGTGACTGTCAGTCTTTATGCTCATCTGGTTGGTGGAAACAAAATCTTGGACTGGATTTTTACTTTCTGAATCTGAACTTTCCAAACGTAGAATGTTTTATCCCATATTTCAATCTTCATTGATACTTCATCTTCTTTCATCCTGATAACTATCCCATCATTCACTGATACTTCATCTTGTCACTCATCCTGATGCTTCATTGTTACACAGACAGGTGATTGTATGTCTCCATGCAGTCTCAGCTTTGTTGGGGTCACTGCCTGGACGTCAAACCACAGCTTGGGTCACACTTCAAGTCCGACCTGCTTACACCTTCCCTGCCAAAAGGTCGCTGAAGCGGAAGCTCCTTCATATCCAAACTAAACCAAACTCTAGACCTTGCTGTTGTCACGGCAGTGTTGTAGACAGTTTCTCATTCGCTGACTTCCCTGATATCCTTCCTTTCAATATTACTGGGAACAATAATGATCTTCCTTACTATGATTGCATGATTCCTCCCTTCAATACCTCAGGTTCCGTCTTAGTTACCGCCTATCTCCGTAATGGATACCCAAAACCATTTCCTGCACTCTGCTTTACTGAATTCGGCCTATTAATTTCATTGGTACATGTATGAACATATACCTGTCAAACTATTTTTTAATATGCAATTTTGTTACTCATTTCTCACCTCCAGTTTGGCAAACTTCTCAGCTTTGTAACAGGCGTATTCTGCATTGATGAGCTTTGTCAAGAGAAACTCGTGAAATTCTGGACCCTGAGGCAATGAAAAAATGCAAGAGGTGAGACAAGCCAAGTGACAGGATTAAGTCTAATTTATACACCAGTGGAAGGGGTGGTTTTTGGGGTGATAATTGAGTGAAACGCATTCATGCATGTTTGGATGTTTTTTGACAGCTTTAATTTGCCAAATAGGGCCCCGCAACAAATGTTGCAACAGCAATAAAATAAAATTAGTAATTTGAGACATAAGACTCTGAAATCTGAGGTGGGTGGGATTATTGTACGCTGTGATTTATTACATTGGCTTAACCTCCGTCCCATTGGTTCCTGTTAGTTTAAACTAGAAAGAGAATGACAGCACAGAGTTGTCCAACTCAAAACCTAATTTTCCCCATCACTATAAAATAGCTCATTCCTTACCTTCCTAAACACAGCAGGGTCAGGGAGTGCTGGCCCAAAGAAAGGGACATCGTCACGCGCAGTCACGGACACCTGGAGGGAGGTGGATCCAGTGATTTATCACAGTGAACACCAGCCCCCATATCAAGCTCTTTCACACCAAATACTTGTCTTCTGAAACATGCTTTGGAAAGGCCAGTGAAGCTATGCTCCATACCATACAATGTGGAAATATGCTATACAATTCACCTGTAGGGTAAACTCCGTAGTGTATACTCCAAAGTGTGGACTACGTAAAGTACACTATGTAGTGCACACTCCATAGTGTGTACTATGTAGTATGTAGTATCTGTAGGGTACATCCAAATGGGTATGGTCTGTAGGGTGTACTCTGTATTGCACACTCAGTAGTTCGCACTACCTTGTAGTACTTTATTGCTACCTTGTAATAAGCACTATGTAGTGTGCAATATGTAATGTGTAATATGTAGGGTAGATCAGAAGGGTTGTAGTGTGCACACTATGATGTGTACACTGTATAGCGTGCACTTTGTAGTTTGTGCTCTGTAGTACACAACCAGCAGGGAGTGCTCTGTGGGGTACATAGTAAGGTACAATCAGAAAGGTACACCTACAATGTGTACTTCATTGGGTTATACTCTAGTCTAGAGGGTACACTGTGTAGGGTACATTCTGTAGGGTAATCTCTGAAGGTCAAATACCTTGTACAGGACATTGTCTGAACATGGATTTTCCACCTGCACCACCACGTAGGCGTGTAGGAAATTGGATGCAATCATGTCCGGTACAAAGGGGGTGTTCTCCTCTTGAAACACAATGGCCACAATGTCGTTTCCTATGTGTCTCTTTCTCTGCAGCTGCAACACAATATGGCATCCTTACGTCACGTCAATATGGAGGACAGAACGTCAGACTGTGCTGGCATTTCTGCTTTCAGAAATAAAGGGGAATGCTGACACCAGCAGAAGGGCTCTCCAGTGCTGACATGAACCATTAATGATAATTAAGTACCACAATGACACATTTACTTATCATATATGGTAACGCTTTACATTAAGTGCACCTTCATAATGCATTCATGGAACATTCAGTGCACCTTCATAATGCATTCATAGAACATACATAAGCAGCATGCAAGTACACTTAACATCCTAACATCCCTTAACAGCTTTAATATACATGAATAACAAGACATTACATAACAAACATTATAATTGTATAATTATATAATGATTGTATTTAATGTATAGTATATTACAGCTGTTAAGGGATGTTAGGATGTTGTGGTATACATACATGATGTTTATGAATGTTTTATGAATACTTAATGAATACATTATGATGGTGTACTGAACGTTTTATGAATGCAATATAAAAGCATTATAAAGGTGCAGTTAATGTAAAGCATTACCTCATATACTGTATCATATACTGAGTGTACAATTACTGAGAGGAGATATACTCAGAGCATTTACATTGCCAGTACATAAACTGATGCATACTGCAAGTATAGACCTTAAAAGCAGATATATAGTGAGATTCACGTAATAAGAGCAGCCATGCTGAGCTTCAGGCTTTAATGCCTGACTGCATATTCTGAATGCAGTGCCTCTGCCTGACGAGGCTGGAGCAGACTATGGAAGCCACGCCTGTGTGAGTTTACTGTGAGACTCTCCTCTGGACTGGGTAAAGGGCAGCTCACAGAGGCATGTACCTGCTGAGTGTCTCCCTCTGTGTAGGGCAGCTTAGTCGACACGTGGAACATGATCTCGTTGTTGTGGAAGTTGTGGTAGATGGATTCTGTGCCAGTCTGCCCATGGGTCACATCCAGTCCACCTCGGAACCTAAAACATACCAGAGAGAGAATCATGGGTTAATCCTATAATCTGATGCTGGGGTACAGGTCAATAAAGAAATGACTAGGCAACGGTGTCAGGTGAGACTCTTTTCTCAGAGATGATCTTGCGGTACATAAAAATAGCTTAATTTAAGGCCATCTGTACAACTTGGGATCCTTATAGGTTAGACATATAGAAAGGCGTTACCCAATAAACCTGGGTCGATAGAGTGTAAACAGATATGCATGCATGCATTTCTATATATTTCTATTTTCACGGGTATATAATGTGTATAATGTTTGTATGTATTCTAAATATATAATGTTGCATTCTGGGGTCAATAAGAGTCAGATGGAAACAGAAGAATCTGAATACAGGAGCCCTTCTTTCGGATTGCAGCTCCTCCTTTTGTGCTAAACTTATCAAAGCTGTAGGGAATTAGGGCAAAGGCTTCTCCAGCCTGGATCAGATCAGAATAATTCTCATCAGCATTAAGGCAACCGTAAGGCAGAGAGTAGGGTTCACCCAGCTCCTGGCTTCATGATATGACTTGTTCAGGACTTTAGCCCATCCATCCATCCATTATCATAACTGCTTAATCCCCAATGGGGTAGCGGGGGGCCCAGAGCCTGTCCCAGGAACGACTTTAGCCCATACCCTTTAAAATCATGCAGCTCAATCTTCTGGCCAAGGAAGTCGAGAAACTCCGCGAAGGCTGCGCTCTCAACATTGTTCCCGAAGAGCTCCTCCTCCGAGGTCTGAGTGGAGATATGGAGAAATTTTAATCACGATATGGATCGCCAGTTTTCTGCAGCCCACTGTGTTAATATTTTATGGAGAAAATCTCATGTAGCTACTGGAGTGAATTAGATACCTACATATTTACACATTGTTTGGAGCAAAGCTAATATCTGTTTAGCCTACATGCAGGAATTTAGTACATTATTAAGACATTCTGATAATTACAGTAACACTGGAATAACTGCTGTCCACGATATTCAAATAAGTAGCCAAAAGGCAAACAGATTCATTCTAAGATGACATCAGCAATCTCAGCCTGCGAAAACCCGCTGAATGTTATCTAATCTAAAGAGCTTTTTACAGCAGGCCAGGGGGCAATTAGCAGAACAGACATGCTAATATCCTAAAAGAAATTAAAGGAAGAATGTGATTCACAACGAGCCATAAACAATGGCAGGGCAGAGCACTAATGGCACAGAGGAACCTTGTGGTGCGGGGGGGGGGGGGGGGGCCCCCCCCCACCCCCCCCCCCGGGCCCCCCCCCCCCCCCCCGC